GTTTCAAGGTAGACTCATCAACCCTAATTAGCTGAATGGGACCAAATACCATAAGACCTGAGAGTGGCTTGCCACCTTCCCACTCCAGCAGAGGTGTTAAAGATTTATAAAAGCAAAATAAACAAGCACACCCCCAACACAGCAATGTCTCGAATACATGCTATGCAGCATGAGGCAGGGCCAGAGAAAATGGGATAGTCAAGGCATCCAGTGAAACTAAGTGACACTGTCATCATTTTCACCAAAGGCAGTAAGTCAGAGAAGCTAAAATCACCTGCTCACATAGGGAGGCACATGACAGTCCAATAAGCAAATGACCACCTGTGCTATGCTCCCTTGTGTTCCAATGCTTAAAGGTTTATAATACTAAGTATTTCAAAGTTTGAAATTGCCATATTATGAAAATATTTCTTTGAAACTGTACTCAAATACAACAAAACCTCAAGAATGGATGATGGTGTATCACAATTCTACTGAATTGCTATGAACTCCACTGATTCAGCAAAACTCATTTACCATATGAGCAACCCAAATCACTGCATCCTCATTAACATCTTTTTACTTTTTACTATAATTTTACCACTGTTCTTCCATATTAACTTTTTTCCACTAGCATCTTCACGACATACAAGAAAATAAGAATCCCAGTATTGGATGTGTCAGATAAACCGGAGTTTTGGAGGTTTGGTAGACCATTTTCCACACTGAAATACTAACATTTAATTTTTGTTGATTATAATTAAATTGTAGGTACACACTCCAAGTACATGCAGAAAGATGATGGCAAGCATTCTTTGTCCTTTCACTATAAAAGGAACTGACAGGTTAAATGAGTTTTTCTATTTAAAGCTTATTTAACAAAAAGGGGGTTTCTGTGTGTCTGTGCCCCCCGTGCTATGGTAATTGCAAAATTTCCCTATCAGTGAACTTTACTTCCCTTAATTTTGCAACAGTTTTGCAACTTCCTCTTTCTTTTTATGACGGTAAAAGTAGATATAAAAACAATGCATGTTTTCTTCAAAGACCCTCTACAGACCTTACTACAGACACGGCACTAATAACAGAACCCAAGCTCTCACTGTATTGCATATTCCAGGTAATTATCCCTTCAGTGTGACCATAGACTTTAATTGCTATTTTTTTCTTGTTAATTGGCATAGGAAAACAAGAATGCATATGGAAATATCATGCACCTATTCTTTTTTAATTTAGAAAATATTGTAAATAGATTTATTTCCTTCCTTGAAAAAAAATCCATAATTAAAAATCATACAACTCAGACTCACTTCAACATAACAGATATTTCAAAATGTTCTCAAGGCAAAATCCCTCAAGAAAAGTAATTTTGGACTGTATGTCTGTGAGATGGTGTATGTGTTTGGATATGTTCCCACCTCATCCTCAGTCAAACTGATGCAAAAAAATCAAAGTTATGAACATTTCTTTCTAAGCTACCTGAACAACAATTTTCTAACACTTTCTAACTCGAAGTATGCCTATAAAGGCTTGCAAAATAATAAAATAATAAACAAACTTCTGTTCATCAAACCTACAAATGAAACAGTATCATGAACATCTCCACTCATAATCTTAAAATAACCAAAAAAATAAAAAAAAAATCCAACCCCCAAATCAAACTCTAAACCCAAAAAGCAGAATAAAGAGCTAAAAAAACCTGACATGTGATCACAGCAACACTCACAGGAGCAAATTTCAGAGCTGAAACAGGTAAGCACTTTCTGCTAATTTTGATGGAATTACCTTTACGCAAGTAAAATGTGATGATTAAGTTCAACAAACACAGGCTTGTGGAAATGAAACCAAAACTTGTCCAGTGCATACTATGGCACTCTAATCTCTACAAGCTCCCACTTCAGTCTTACTCTCTAAATTCAGCAATCCACTGAAAAAAAAGGCTCTCTATTTGGTCTCATGGACAAAAAGCTGAAGACAAAAAAGATGGAAAGAGAAAGGTAAGTGCGTGGGTTCAACCACTTCCTGGTCAATTAAGGAGGTGAAACAACCAAAGAAAAAGTCTCAGTGAAAAAGATTTATACTGAGATGCAAACACCAGATGAAGTCACTACAGCTTATCTGATGTGCTTATCTGTGTTTCTTGGTGTGTTTCCCAGATTGTTTATAAATCCCACAGTACTCATTCTATGCTTCACTCCATTCCCTTAAAAAAACAAAGTTCCCTTTAGCAATAAACAAAAAACCCCAAACACAAGTCCTTAAACAAAACACGCTGCTTTTTTACAGGTAAATTAGAAATGTTGCAAAAGACTCCGACAAGCAACCTGGTTTTATGGCACACATATAATTCCATTCATTAAAATTTGTTAACAGACATGGTGGAAGAAGCCAAGCACCTTAGCTCAGCAGAAGACTGAATGTCTCGAAATCTTTCCCACTTCCATTTTGCTACTATAACCTTGCTCTGTAAGTACCATGTTCAACAGAAATCCAGCAATTTAAAAGTATTTTCTCATTCTGCAAGGTAAACTCACTTAAAAATGATGGTCTTTCATCTGGGTTTTGTGCCCATCCACTTTCCATCAATCTTATGACAAGCATTCGATGAGGAATGTCTATTGGTAAACTTTCTTCACTTAAGTCTAGTCGCTGTCCCTGTGACACGCTATACATTATCTGCAAGGGGTTTATAACTTCTGTCAAAACAGACATCATGCAATCATTAGAAATATATGCAATATAAATAGATTACTACAGGGGGAATAATTTAGTTTGCAGACACAGTATTTATAGTTCATCAAAACAATGTTTCTTTTTTAATTATAAAATAAGTATTTTTAATTTATAAAAGAACATTGGAGTTAAAAAAAACAAATACAAAAAAATATCCAATTTGAAAAGAATCTCAAAGTGTTCTTCAACAAGTTTACAATCTGAAACATGAAAAAGTAACCCCTCAAATGAAGTCCCCAGGTACTCAGGTCTCAGGTTTAACCTTTAAGTAAGGTAGGAAAAATAAAGGAAGACATGGCTTACCTTCAAATGGCTGTTTCCTTGACATCACTTCCCACATGATAACTGCATAACTGTTTAAAGTATAAAAAGTATAGAAGATGTTATTCTAGATTACCCACACTTAATAACACAATGTGCTCAGCTGTATGTTTTATTTCAAACATTTTAATTAAATGGTCCTGCAAGCATCCATGGGACTCACTAGCGCTAACTACAATGATAACTTGAATATATGAAAACTAGCAGAAATTTTAGCCAGTGACTTCAACTAGAACTAGTTAATCATACTAAGCACAGAAAAGGTACATGGCATATAAACTCCTATTCCAAATCTTTATTAACTTTGCTTTACTAATACATTGTGAATTATGTAAATGTGGTTCAAGTCTCAATACACAAATTAAAGTGAGCCCCAGAGACCCAACTGCTCTGTCCTGTATGCAATACTGTGACAGTTCCCCAGTCCAGATCGACACTGCCATTCCCAAGGAAAACAGGCTATCAGCA